TCCCTGCTGGTCCTGTGCTGGGCTCGGCAGGCCGCTTCCCCACCCACCAGACCTCTAGAAGCCTGGCCAGCAGGTCCCAAAGGGCCCTTATCTGAAGCAGTCTTCCTGCGTGGGGAGGTGAGGGGTGTCTGTGGACCCTCAGTTAAGAACATATAGCTGTCTGGCTATCTCCATGAGGACGAGAAACAAAGAACAGATCTGTTTGTAGTTCTCTAAGGGCCTGAGAGATTGGGACCAACTCTGTCAGGGGGCTCTGGGGCCTGGAGGACAGAGGGTCTGGGCGGAGACGGCTGCAGTGTGGTCCTGTGTGAGGAGACCGGGGCGGGGGGCTGGGAGTGCAGACTCCCTGTGCTGGCATTGAGGCTAACTACCTGTGGGGCCGTGGACAAAGGCTGTGCTCCTCTCTCCTCATCCCATGAATATCTGTCGGGCCCTTTCCCAGAAGCAGACCCCAAGACTGGGACTCTAGTGCAAGTAGTTTATTTTCTTTATTGAATCTAGAGCGAGGGGAAAGGAGGGAGAAAGAGAGGGAGAGAAACACTGATGTGTGAGAGAACATCAATCGGTTGTATCTTGCATGTGCCCTGACTGGGGACCAAACCCACACCCCAAGCATGTGCCCTGACCAGGAATCAAACCCATGACCTTTCAGTTTGCAGGACAATGCTCAGCTGATTGAGCCACACTGGCCAGGGCACAAGTAGTTTATTTTCAAGGGGACGCAAGGGAGCACCAGTAAGGGAGTGGGTCGGACAGGGAAATGAAGATGCCCAATCAAAGTTCATGAGCAATCAAGTTCCACTCTGGGCACCTGGAGTCAGTGTGAAATACACTGCTCGGTCATCACTCCCCAGAAGGAAAGGGGCTGAAGTATTTATTCATGCACCAGTTCCCACCAGCCATTGGCTTAGAGCTGTTGCCAGAGCCTGTTACTACCACAGCATGTCCACCCCACTGCGCAGGTAGTGCCGAGGGCTCTGGAGGCCAGGGGCGGCCGGTTGGAAGTGGAGCCGTAGGCACTGACACAGCCAGGGTCAGGGGACGGGCCAGCACGCTGGGGGTGCCTACCACCCCAACCACGTGCAAAGCACTTTACAGGCTACACACATGGGCAGGATGCAGCCCCCACCCTTGGGAGGCTTCTCTGGTTGTCTCAGACGGGGAGATGGACCTCTGCCCTTCCCATGCAAGGCCTGCTGTGAGATCTATCCATCGGGCAGTGCCCTGAGGGAATAAACACTAAAAGCTTATTACCTAGGTCAGGTCACAGTGGTGGGGCAGGTGCCCCACTTCCGGCACTGTGTTTTCTACTTGACCTGAGATACGTCAGTCAGAACACATCTGGTAAGACCACCTGCATCACCTTGGTCCAAGAACAAAGCTGCTGTGACTCGATTGAGCCCCAGCTTTTCCTAACCATCTCTCAGGCCAGTTCCAAACCGGCTGCACAGAGAAGCAGTGGGTTCCGAGGCTGGGGAGTGCAAACCTCAGGGTCTGTGAACCCAGAAATTTCTCTAAAGTGTCCATAGGGTTGAGCTCCTTCTCTGCAACTGGAGTAATTTGTGCCAGTTCCTATGCCAAGCAGTCATGCATGTGCCCCCACACTCACATGCACATATATACACACATGTACACACGTGAACTGGAGACCAACTTCTAAGAAAAACAAGAGACTATTCTTATAAATCGTGAGCATTTAAGGGTCTTAGTGAGCAATTTTCCACCTCCCTTCCCCTCCCCTCCCCTCCCCTTGCTAGTAGAGTGAGGAGTATCAGGCTCCTGTTTCCAGAAGATGCTGATAAGCAAAAGAGCTGCCTTCTCGAGGCCGTCCAGTCCCTGGCACTTAGGAGGCCCCAGGACAACTCCCAGGCCCAAACCCCTGGAGTGCACCTGTCCCAAAGCCTGCAAAACCGTCCCGGGCTCCTCAGTGGTCCGGAGGGTCAGAAAGCTCTTTCTACACAGTTTGTACTTTCTGTAATTATTTCCTTGTTGTTGGGTTTTTTTTACCTTAGCATTTAGACGAGTTCATTCGGAAAATGTCAACCTGTTTTGGCTGCAGCAAGGGAAAGGAGGATTTGTCTGTGCCCCAGCCTCTTCTTAAAGAGGAGCAGCACACCTGGGGGCCGGGGTGGGGGCCAGGGGTAACAGCAAGGTGCCAGGAAGCTCTCAGCAGCCCCTCCCCTCCTGCAGGCCCTCCTCCTGAAGCTCCTCTCTGCTCAGACTTAACAGGTTTGGGGTCTGTCCCTCAAATACAGGACTCATCTCCTACCCTCTGGGCACCTACCTCACCCACTCCAGTCTGCCTGGGAAGTGCTCAGGACAGATTTCTCCCTCTCCCCTCTGGAAACATCCCTGAGTTCATCCACCCCCAGAGACGTCCAGCTTTCTAAGGTGATTGCAGGCTAAGTGTGATCCCGCAATCCACGAGGATGCTTTAGAAGAGCTCGTGTGTGGGGGTGGGGTGGCAACCATTTCCATTGTAGCCCCAGCCCTCCTGGTAACATCTAGGTATTTTAATACTCATGGTTTTTAAATGCCTCCTAGCAAAACAATGGGATTGTCACAATGTCACAGAATAAGCACAAAAAAAGATGCAAACTGAAAAAACACACAACAAAAATGCAGCACTAGACAGGACCTCAGGTCAAAAGGCACGAGACCCTGAGCTAGCAGGTCTCAAAGGTCAAAGGGTCAAAAGGTCAAAGGGTCCTTCCTCCTTAGAACATTCTGGGATTCTCCCACTTGCTCCTGTGGCTCTGGATGAGCAGTTTGACTTCTTTGGGGGCTCAACTTTTTCACCCTTTGAATTTGGTTTCCTAAGCCTCCTCCCAGGCATTGATTCTATGGCAGAAATTTTAGCTCCCCACCCAACCCCCAGGACAGACCAGCAAGGGAAGGGAACTTAGCTGATGCTCACCCCAACGAAAGTCAACAGCAGCCACACTGACCACACACGCCGCCCTTCCTCAGAGCCTTCCTTCCCTACTCTCCCTCCCAGCAAGGACTAGCGCCTGCCCATATGGCAAGCTCCAGAGAGACCCAAAAGCTTCTGAAGGCCACTGAAGCTCTCTGCTCAGGGGCCCCAGCAGCTGCCCCGGCTGAGCCCAAGGCAGCGGGCCCAGGGACGGCAGCAGGAAGGGCCGCGAGCTTTCTGTAGTGAGTCCCTGAATTGCACCCATCTTTACCAAGCTGGCCCCAGCTGGTGAGAAAAGACTCCCCAGTGGGAAAGGGTGGGGAGGAGAGCCTTCCCACCCAGATCAAGGCTGAAAATCAGACTTTCCACAGCACTCTGCACACAATAACTCCCTGACCTTACAGGCCCAGCCCCCACCCCCACCCCTCCCACACCACACAGAGGAGAGAGGCCTGTTTATCACTCTGGGTGGGACCCAAGCCTGTGGGGAATTGCAAAGAAACAGCCAGCTTAGGTTGCTATTGTTGTGTTTAAACAAACCGTTGGCTGGACTGACTTGGAAAGGAATGAGGGCGAAGCAGGGAACTCAGAGCCTGGCTGGGCCCGGCTTTCCTGGGCTCAGTCGCCTTCTCTCCATCTTGCTAGGGTGGCCAGAGAGCTATTTTGGGAAACTGGCTTCTAGGCCTCAGGCCCTTAGCTCCTCTCCCAGGAGAGATGAGTCTCGAGGAGCCTCTGTTCCCCAGCCCTTTCCCCGACCTTGGCACCCACAGCATCTCAGCCCCCTGCTACCCCGGGCTTCAAGCCAGTCCTGCGTAAGGCAAGGCCCAACACTGGGGGACCTGGGGGATTGAGCTGAGAAAGGGCCAGGGCGAGGCCAGAATGTGTTCTGCTGTGTCTGAGGGCCTGAACTGGAAGGCTGCCTGGACACTCCCGAGCAGACAGGGCAAGGGTGAGGGAGGTGGAAGGGTGTCCAAAGAGAGAGACCTCACCTGCCTGGGGTGAAGAAAGCACAGTGGGAAGGGCAGAGGCAGACGGTCCGTTCAGACCAGAGGAGGCCTACAGGGAGAACAGTCGGCAGGCAGCTGCCACCTAAAGGGGGACGATGGGAGCTTCTAGAACAGGGCAGTAGGGCTTTAGTTTTCTGAAAAGTAAACTGGTCTAGGGGTTGGGTCACCAGGCTGACCCTGGTATGTTCCACAGAGAACTGAGGGATATCTCACCCTTCCAGGGCCACCCTGAGCACCCCACCCCCACCCCGAGAACCTCTGTGTGGGGGAGGAGCAGGGGCCTGGTGGAAAGGTGTCCAGAGCACAGTTAGGTGTTGGCAGAATCAATGAGGAACGGCACTAATCACCATCATTAAGACTATAAAACCCCACACCTAGGGGCCGTAGGGCGCCCTAGCATGGCCTGGGGCCCCGAGCTGTGGCACAGACCCAGGGGCCCGGCTCCAGTTCCTTTCATCTGAGCATCTCCCAGTCGTGCACAAACATTAATTAGCACCCGCCCCCAGAATCGCCTCATTATCCCACAGACATTGAGTGGAGGGGTGGAGAGAGGGAAAGGGAAAGAAGGAGGGAAACTGAGGCTGTCCCAGCAGCCACAGAATCTTCCTGGAGAGTAAGGGCTGAGTCCTGTGGAAGCCGAGGAAGAAGCTGTCTCAGAATTTGGCCTTCTCCTCCCGTCCCGGCCCTTTTGGTTGTTCAAGCCACCAGTGGCCTCCTGTTTTGAAGGCCTGAAGTATGGTCTCAGTTAGCAAGCCTGAGGACTGCCCGCCCTGCTTCAGATCTGACCAGACCCCACAGGCTGAGAGTGTGTCCTGTGTCCAGTCTCGGGGCACAAATGGCAAGAATGGGGCAGCCAGCCCATCGGGAAGTGTCCTCTCAGGCCCCTCTGGAGGTCAGGGGTCCAGCCCTCACTGTCCAGCCATTCTCGGTCACGTCTGTCTTTTTCCTCTCTCCCTGGATCCCCTGAGGCACCACTCTGAACCCCGCAGTCCATCCCCACAACGTCTCCCTGAAGCAGCCGTGCGTCTTCTGCCCCCTCCGTCCAGGATTCTCAATCCTACTCCCATCTCTTGTTTCAGGGCACTAACATGAAGACAGGGAGGATCCAGGGCCAGGAGTTATCACGTGAGTAGGACTCTGCAAGGCTCCTTCCCCCGGCCAGGGCGAAGACAGTGCTCGCCAGGTAGCAATGTCACTTCATGCTGAGACTTCACAGTGCACAACACACTGATGCACGAGTTTACATGTACACTCTGATTTCATCTTCACTGTTTCCTTCTAAAGTCGCTGTCATCAACATCTCCATCTTACAGAGAATGAAAGTGAGGCGCAGACCCACCAGCCCTGTGTCACACAGTTGGTGTGATGGCGCCAGCATTAGCACAGGGCCCTCCTGGGGTGATGGACAGGGTCACTCCTCCTGCTGTCAGCCTCTCTGGTTTCCTGCCCTGAGTCCCACAGAGTGGCTGCATAGACCTCCCTCTTCTCTGATGCCTCCCCTCCTCACCCCATCCTCACCACCGGCTCCCCCTCCCCTCAGATCCCCACTGCAGGAGCAGGCCCTCCACCAACCCACAGGGAGTACTCAGGGGCCAGGCTGGCCTCCAGCTAAAGGCTGAGCAAAACGACCCACACAGCTTCATGGTTCCGTAAATCAACATGGCTCAGGCACCAGCAGAGCCTAGATTCAAACCGCAGCTCCACCACTTAGTCGGCCTGACTCACCTTCCCAGAGCCTGAGTCTCCTCACCGAGAAAATGGCAACGCCTACCCTAGCCTACCAAGCTGTGGGGAAGGTTAAAGAGATGTCAGGACGGAAGCACTGGGCCAGGGCCTGGCCCCGAGAACTGGCCCTACCTGTGCGTCCCCTCTCTTCCTCCTCATGCCTCTCCTCTCACTTCCAGAGAGGGATTCTTCTGGGAAGCTTCCTAGTGAAAGGGATTCAGTCTGCATCTCCCTGAGGACAATTCCCAGCTGCATAAAACCAGTGGGTTACAACTCTAGCCTTATCTCATGAATCACTGTCCCCAGTCTCTGGCAGCTGGGATACAGCCACCCTCACGTGCACTTGGCCACCCACACACCCTCTTGCCTTGCCCAAAGCTGGCCCAGCCACACACCGTGGATACAGAGACACCCACCTATGTGCAGACATCTCTCTCGGTGTTGGCCATGTTTCTGAGAAAACACTGACTTACCCACACTGACAGCCCCCTGAAACAGCCTCAGCACACATGCACCTGCCCCAATGTAGACCCCAACTCACACAAACCCACATGGCTCCTGGAACGCCCTGTGCCATTCTCACTCTGAACACACACACACACACACACAGGCACGCACACACACACATCTGATGCAATCCAAAAATTCAGGGAGAGATGAATAGTCAGGAAATCCCCTGGCTGAGGCCAGGCGGGAGGCCGCGGGGCCGGAAGGGCACCATGAGGAACACTCCACCAGCTTCAGGCAGCAAGTGGCTCTTGTCTAATGGTCGGGGGAGGGAAGTGGCCATAAAGTACCAATACTCCCTCCCACCAGCCTCCTCACTACAAACACTCCATCCCCACCCACCCCCAGGAAGATTCTTGGCTCCTTGGAGAGGGAGATGAAGAGAGCCAGGGGAGGAGAAAGAGGCACAGCACTCTTGGAAGTAGGCCTGGCTGAAGCAGCCTGGTCTGACCTGCGGAGACCCAGAGCCTTGCAGAGTCTTGGGGGAAGGACTGAGATGTCCCTCCTCCATTTTCCCCCCAGAAAAGCTCTGCCTCCTCTGCAGAGAGTGAAAGGGAGAGAGATGGCCTTCTCTGGAAGAGGCTGAGCTGGTTCCCATTGCCCCAAGCACCTAGTTCTTACAGCTTCCATGATCAAACCTTTGAACCGAGTCCTACCCACCCCCATAACCACTTCCAGATCCTCTGGATCCAGCCAAGAAATTGGCTTCTTTGGGGATTGAGTTCATAAGGAAATGATGAAAAAATAAATAAAAATCTACTGCCAAATGTACTCAGAGGAAGATGGGTTTTTCTCAAGGCAGGAAACCCATCAGGATAGACTAAAGCAGGATAATACCCACTGGCCCAGAAAGGCCCAGGTGCCCACCAGCACCTGAGACCTTCAAAGAGATCATAGCTCCTCCTCCCTCACCACTTTAAAAAATGTGCTTCTTAAAGGAGATGCTGCCAAAGACAAACCCTAATGCTTTGCAATGGGTAAGCCCCAATCTGGGGTGCCAGAGGGTCAGCTGGGACAGTGGACAGCACAAATGACTCTCTTTCCCTCCTCCCTAGAGCAGCCAAGAGCTCCTGGGGTCCTGTGGCATGTGTAGCCCACCCTCTCTCCCTTTTTCTGCCTATAGCCTACCAGCCTCCCACCCCACCACCACGAACTGGCTTCCATCGCTACCAGTTCTTAGTCTATCGTCTGAGTACACAGAACATCTCTCTCCTTCCAGAAGAAACCGGAAGTCCAGGTAAGATCTTCCCGTCCTTCAAAGCCAGGGTAATTTCTGGGATGGTTTGGATACTCTATGCATTAATAAGGGACATCGGGACCTTGATCTCTATTCATGAGCCTTGAAGGCTAAGGTCAAAAGGTGGTATTTCTTGGGGGAAAACTAGAAGGCGTGTCCTAAAGGAAAGGCTGACATCAGATATGGTCTCTGGACAGAAGTAAGGCCTATAGACCAAGGTGGCGGCTTTGTCTGGGTGGAGGGGTCTGTAAGGGCGGGTCCCCAAGGGAGAAACTGAGCCAGGGAGAGAAGCTTCTCTCCCGCAGCCCCAAATGGCATGTGCAGACAGCTACCCCACAACACTTCTGCAAGTAATTGTACCCTATAATTGAGTCCAACCTGGGCAGGAGGGCCCTGGAATGCCACCCTGCCAGTCTGTCTTCATTGGTCATTAATTGCTCTGCCTGTCTGGTGCCACCTCAGTGGTGGGGCAGAGACTTGCCCAGCCATGGCCCCCGAGCTTTCTGAGCCACCCTCTGGGCACTCTGGAGGGGACCCCCTCCCTCCTCAGCTTCCTAATGGCTCACCCAGCCTGCTTGGCCCCACTCCTCCTCCAGGGCAGGGGGGCAGCAAGAGCCACAGATGCCCGGCCACTGGAATGCCGCAGGTGACTCGCCTCGCCCTGTGTGAACCACAGCCCCTCTCTGGGCCTCAGTTTCCTCTTCAGGAGAATGGGAAATAAGACAATTCATGCACATTCTACCACCACCATCCCACTTGAGGGAAGGGGAGACGACGGGGAACACACAAATGCCAACTTGGGAGCACAAAATGCACATCTCCCAGGCTGGCAGGAGGGCTAGTGGGTAGGCGGGTGTCGTCAGCCACTTCCTCTCACCCAGTGACCCAGACCAACATCTCCTCACTGGGAAGCCGCAAAGGCATTGTTACCAGGCTGCCTGTCGCCTGAGGCCCCAGAGGAGAGGAGTGCGGGGCCCAGAAAGGCCCTGGTTGAGCTGCAGGGCCCTTGGGTGTGCTGGGTGGAGGCCACCAATCACAAAAGGCTCCAGCTGCCCTGGAAGCAGACCCAGGGCAACCTTTCCCCCGGTGAACCTTCCCCAGCACCCTCAGCACCTTTCCAGTCTGAGAATCTGCTTCAGGAGCTTTGCCAAAGACGCTTTGAAGTTTGGATACAAAGAAAGAAGGGGAAGAAACGAATCTCACCCAGGCCAAAATCAATTTCTCCATGTGTCTGAATCCCCATCTCACTTAAGATGTCCTGAAGCCCCTTCCACCTGGATTCTGTGACTGGGAATTAGCACCTGAGCCCACTCCACCCCCCACACGTGGGAGTCTCACAAAGTAAAGCATTACCTCTGAGTCCCACGTTAGACCTCAGGGTCCCAGTGTTGTGCCCTGGACAGGACATGGCTCAGACAGTCCCCTAAAGCAGCCCCTCACTGATCAAGTGCTTTCTGAGGGCAGGATGGAGGGGAAGGGGAGCGCATCTGGCAATGCCGGGGGAGCAGTAAAGAGGGCAAAGGAGGAAGGGTGTGTGCCAAAGCCATGGCCAACCCTGCCGTGCTGGGCCAAGGTCTGCTCGCAGCCCACCCCCAGAAAGCACCGCCACCTGCGTGCCCATCCTGTGAAAAGAAGCAGGCGTGGATGCTGGAGACCTCTCGGGCCTGCAACCTATCATTAGCCCTTTTGGATCTTTGCCAAGACCGGGGTTTCTTGTGCATCCCACTGCCACCCACCTTTCATGAACACTCAGGAACTGGACTTGGATCTGGGCAGAGTCCCTTTGGCTTCTGTACCATTTTGTTTGCCACCAGAAATGGAGGTGGGAAAACTAACCTTCCAAATAAAGCTGCGACCAGGGCACAGGTCCCATTGTGTGATGCCTTCCACAGGCGCCGTACTGTGCTGGAGGCTGTGGATAGGCCAGGGTGCTGCTTGGGAGTGTTCCCTGCCCTCCGGGGGCTTACAATCAACTTCGGAAACACTAAAGTAACAATGCAGAGCAGCTATCTAATAATTAAGCACTTAATTGTGTGTTTCTGGTGGCTAGGACAACTGGAGAATGTGTAGACTTAGGGATAGTCTTTTCCCTTCCAAGGATCCCCTTCCCTCCAAGACACCTGCCCTCGTCAGCCTGAAAAGATGCAAAGGTATCTTACCGTAGGGTGAGGAAATCTGGATTCCAGTCTCTAGCTAGTGATTTGGCTTTGGAGCAAACCACCTAGCCTCTCTGAGCCTCAGTTTCCTCATCTAGAAAATGAGGGGTGGATCTAGAAGAGCTGCAAGTCTATGTGGCCCCGCAGCTCTAAGGAGCAGGTAAGGCCTGAGCGGGGCCCTGGTAAAGGAGGGGATTTGAATCCCTCAGTAAAGGAGAGAGGGGAGGGAGCCCTGGGCTGGGAAAGCTGCAGGTGCAAAGATGTACAAAGGAAAAAAGAAGTGAGAAGGGGCACGGCTTGTGAGGAGGCAGGCATGGCGCGACGAAGGGAGAAATCAGAGCAAAGCTGTGGAGGCTCTGGCAGAGGTACGACTGCGGTGGGCACTGTGGACAGCCACCAGATAGTGCCCACAGGAGAAGAAACACACCGACCTCTCCTCAGAGCTGCCTGACCTGGGGTGGTGGGCAGAACTGACCAGAGAAGGGAGCAGCAGGCACCAGAAGGCGTGGGGGTGTCTGGCACAGATACGCGCAGGGCTGATTGCAAGAGCACAAGTGGCCCTTGCACAACTAGGATCTCCAAAAGGCCTGGCGCTCTCTAAAGCACCTGCACGGAGCTTAGGGGACTCACAGGGCCCCCGGGCTGGACCAGCTCTTGGGAGGCCAGGACGTGAAGCCCTGCCAAAGGGCACAGGCCCGGGGGGTTGGCTCGGTCTAGTTTTCTTTCCTTGGGAAGGCATCTGTGGAAGGAGCGGTGTGTCCTGGGGTATGAGTGGCGCAACCAGCCACTGTGTCACTGGATGAGCGGGCAGGAACAGCTTCCAGAGACCGGAGGGGAAAGGCCAGTGTGCAGGAGCTGGTGGAGGGGATCCACGGAAGATAGTTAACTGGCCCCAGTCCTGTGGGGTTGCTTCCCCACCCTGGGGCTTAGGTATAATAACAGGTTGAGGATGAGAAGAGAGTGTGAGATGATTTTAGTTGAACTCACTGGGGGCAGGGCAGGGGGCATATTGCTCAGATACAGGGGCTGAAACCCTCTCCAGGGTTCCTCTTTGTTCTGTGACTCCAGGCTGACATACAAGGGGTCAGCAAATGGGAGGTGTTGGCACCCACACTCCCATGTGACCTGAGACAAGCCACCTCATATCCTAGGGCCTCGATTTCTACATCATCAAGATAAGGGGTTGGACTAGTTGGTCTGCCACAGAGTGACCCTGAGCAGATTTGCTCCCAGTTCACAGAGCTCTCCCCAGGTCCAAGTCTGGCCAGACAGATGGAAGGAGCAGGCGAGCAGGCTCCACTTGCCTGCCATCCCTACCCGCTTCTTGGTGGAGGCCTCCAACCTGGTACTGGGATGCTGGGACCACCGCAAGGGTCCTGGAAGGGGTCCCCTAACTCTATTGCTTATGGTTTATGACGTCCTAGCTTCCCACCCCCTCCTGCTGCCTATACACCACTCCCTCCTGTCCACACTGTTTTCCCACCACGCTTGGCTTGCTTCACAAATGCCCTCCACGTTCATCCAGACAATGCCTGGAGCCATGAGCATGAGGCGCCGCTGCAGGAGCTGCGGGAGCTGTGGTCACAGAAGTGAACTTTGTGGACCAAGTCCCTGCCCCCTGGCTGTGTCACCCAGGGAGGCTCCCAGGGAAAGAGCAGGGGGATATTCACACAGCTCAAGCACGACCTCATTCCAAAGAGAGGGGTGCGCTGGAGCATGAAGAACCTGTATGGCGCTTGCTGAGGAGCGCTGGCCTGGGTTCACTAACACGTGCCCCAGAGGCCGAGGCTCACCTTCCCAGATCTGGAGCCGTCATTGTCTCAGGCTGTCTCCTCAGCCGACCCCACCTGCCCTCTCCCTCTCCTTTGAGGCACCCAGGTAACATTGTGTTGGCCTTCCTTAGTCACCTGCTTTTGTCTCTTGTGTCACTCAGTCATTTTTCACTTGTATGGGCCCCATTTCCACCACGAGACTATAAATTCCTTGAGGGAAGAGCTCACCTCGTCTCATGTTTCCTTTCTACCACCTGTCTCGGTGCTCAGCCCACAGTGGACTTTCAATCAGTGAGTGTGTTTGTGAATGGGCTGCACCCACGCATGCACATTCACAAGCCTCGAGCACACAGATCTGCCCATTCTCACACCCCCACGTTCACAAACACACCTCGCTGTCAACTTCCTTTAACACCCGAAAAGACAGCCACCTCTGTGAGTGCCATGCCCTCAAAGAGCGATTTTGGTATCCACACCCTCCCTGTCCCCACGCCGGATGGGCAGGGCCACTTACATGCCCAGCCTCTCCACCAGCCTCCCCTGCACCTTCCCGGCCTTCCCTCACCCTACCTCCTGGCAGTGTGGGGTGTGTAGGACAGCGGCTGTCATCCCCCTGGGTGAGTGAGGATGAGAAGCCCAGAACAGTGAGTGGCTTGGTTGAGCAAGGGTCTCAGTTAATAGTAAATTAGTTTTCTTCTGCCTTTTGGAGCAAAGTTCTTTGTACCTGTCACCAGCCCACCCACATGCCCTCTCCTCCCACCCAGACCACCAGACTTCTGGGCCCTGGGGTGGGGGCAGAGAGGGAGCAAGTCCATCCTGCTGCCCTCGGCATCCTTGGCCAGCAGCAACGGCCACCCACGGCAGTGCACCCACTTGCCCCTTTCCCATGGCTGAGCGCTGTAGGGAACTGTGTTCTGCCCCGTGCCATGCCTCTGCCACCTTGCCCAGAGGTGTCACGAGCTGGCCTCACACTCCTCTGGCAGGGAAATCCCCTCTCTGTCCCGCAAGATGACGTGCCACCACTTGCTCCAGAAGTCTCTGCGAGGCCACGAGCCCGGGGCGGTGCAGCAGC